AAAAAAAAAAAAAAGAAGAAGAAGAAGAAGGCATTGGTACCATATGAGTGGCCAAACATAGCACTCACAATATAGAGAGAAGTGGTTTCTAAATGCTAAAGGACTCTAAATTACTCAAGGTCAAGACCACGGCCATCACACAAAATAAACCAGTGTGGTCCATGCCTGTTACCCCAACACTTGTAAAGACCAAAGGATTTTGAGTTTGAGGTCATCAGGGTTACGTGAGACCCTGTCTCAAAAAAACGAGGTAGAGAAAGGGGCAGGAAGGCAGGTAAGGACCACAAGCAAGTCAATTCCGGGAAAACAGTGAATGCTGACAGGTCAGGGGAGACACCACCCCTGGAGACGTGGCACACACTAGCGACTGCTTCCTGCGATGGTCAAGGTGCCGCTGAGGTTTGAGTGTGTCCCTGTAAGGGGTGCTGCAAAGATCCGCTCCAAATGTGACCTGAAGGGACTCTGACCGTGTCCTCTCTGTCCTGCAGGAATAGATAATCTCTATGAGAGGGCGCTTCACATCCGCAAACTCCTCTTGACCTTGCCCAGGTCGGTCCTCACAGTGATGAGGTACCTGTTTGCCTTCCTCAATCAGTAAGTACCCCAGTGTTCTGTCACAATGCCCATCTGCATTCTGTCTGTGTTCTTGGATGCTGTAAGATGTGTGTTGAGTTCCATTTATCAGCAGAGTCAAAGGGGGAGCGATTGAATGTAAGCTGAGGGACCATTTTTTACCTCGGGAGATCAAGGACTTTTTATGTTACATGAAAAATCTGGAGAAACTGTGGCTGGCTGTACATGTAAAATATCCAAAATACTGTTATAAATAACACTTTGTAGTGAAATATGTGGGATTTTTTTTCCAACTTCCATGCAGAGTTCATGTCAAAAATGTTTTTGTCAAAATGATGTAAACCACCTTCTAGCAAAAAAAAAAAAAAAAAAAAAATTCTTTTTTTTTTTTTAATGTTGTAGTCGGGGATGGAGGGGGACTGGAGATGGCTTAGATATCCATCCAAAAGCAGCATTTTCACAAATTCACTGTAACGAGGCCTCGTC